AAAGAGAGAGAGCGAGAGAGAAACAGAAATTTCCAAGTAGACAGCACATTCAACTCTCTCAATTTGCTAGTGAACAAATGGGAAACTTAACAGTTGTTTCCAAGCAGACAGCACATTCAACTCTCTCAATTTGCTAGTGAACAAATGGGAAACTTCAAGTTTATTCATTCATAATACATTGTTGGGGCTGGTTAAGGCCTCGATTTCCACTTTGGACCACTGTTAACTATTCCAGATTGTTATTTTTAGTATGTTAACGTTGTTAACATGTATTCAATTCTAAAAATAGTTAAATTTCCACTTTGGACCACTGTTAACTATTCCAGATTGTTTTTTTTTTTTAGTATGTTAACGTTGTTAACATGTATTCAATTCTAAAAATAGTTACTGATTCTCCTGTATCTCACTAGATATGTTAGACACAAACCTAGGTACTTGGGGTCCCCACAAAACCCTTGCTCTCCTGGAAATCAGTCTTAGTTGCAGAATAGACTGCAAGAAAGGCATGGCCTGTAATATGAAGATGACTTTAAGTTTTCTCACGAAACAATGAGATAATTTTCACTTCGGATAACTTGCCACTTGCTGTTCAAATATGTGGTGAGCACAATTTTCTTTGTTATATGTGGCATTCCTAACTTAAAACCCTCAAGCACAGTGTGCACTTGGCACCAGATACTCCATTTTGTTTTTTTCTGGTGTGGTCACAGCTATCTTGGCAGGTACTGGGCTGGGATGCATGTAAGACATAATACAAAAGCGATCACTGGAGAAATAGTACTATAAAACCAAAGTAGAACTTTACTTAAATTAGTTCCAAAAAGTTCAAAATTTTTTGCCTTATAATTTTCTTAAGAGTTGTATGAAATTAGAGTTTTATATAAAGATTTTTATAGAAATCATTTTATATAAAACAAAGAAGGAGTTGGGGAATCAGGAGAGATTCCAATGTTTCAGTTTCTTGAAGGTAATCTCTTTGTAGAGACCTCTCCCCACCTCTGATAAAACAGTCAGCAAACTCTTTACTTCGATTGCTTTTGTGCCCAGTCTTTTGGTTTAAGCCATCATTATGGTATCTAGATTTTAGGTAACCATTCTGGCAGTGTTTGGTGTTTTTAAAGGGGAAAATATGACTTATAACACCATGTGTACCAAGTGTAAATTCCTTTTGACATCAGTTTTTACCTCTGACAGTGACTTAATACTTAGAGAAAAATGACTTCTCAAAGAGAAGTTATTCAAATTTTCCATATATGCCATGGTAGATACTTTCCAGGACCTACCTCTGTAGGAGATAGTTTATAGTACACATGAGAGACAATAGAAGAGAGACAATGTAAGATCCACTATTATTAGCAATTTAGACCAAGAGACAGACCCTGGCTGTCTGGAATTTTTGTGATGTCATAGCCACTATCCTATTCATGTTAAATAGACTGTCTCCACTAAAACAGTCTCTTTTGAACACCTCTGATTTGACAGCTCTTCCTCTTAACCACTGGGTCTGACCTGCAAATAAAACACACAGCGTCCTGCCTTTAAAAACAAAAAGCTGCATTTTAACAGTGGCATGGGTAAGGGTTGACAGTTTTCAAAGGGTTCATCTCATGTGTTACTTTACAGCACTCAAGACAAGCAAGGTGCCCACAGCAAAGGTCTTGCTGCCAGAGCTAGGAGGAGACTCATTCTAAAAACAGAGAGGACTATGGCAGGACAGCACAAGAGACTTTCTTCTGCAAATTAACCATTTAAACATTTCTGTTGAAATTTTCATTTAATTTTCTGTTTGATCATAAAAATTAAATTTAGAAAGCTGGTCCTAGATGGACTGTGTATAAAGCATGTTTGGTGCTTCATCTGGGGTTTTCCACTTGGGAATTTACAAGGGAATCAGCCAGGTTCATTGGTAGGATAAACACACTTCACTGTATGGTTTTTATCCAGTCCACTGGGTGATCATTCCTTTAAGGATATTCTCTTGTGTGTCTAGCTCCTATGGACTATCAGAGATTGTTTCACAGTGGGCTGCAGGTTTAGGAATACTCCATACATCCTTTCCATTTTTCAGCATTCAAAAACAATGATGCAAACCTCAAGTAGTTACTTTCGATTTCAGTAAAACTTCTCCAGGGAGTGGGTAAGATGATGCAAATGCATTAGACTGATTAAGTGTTAACAGATTTGCATGGCATTTTGATTGCTGAATTTTGAGATTACAGTACTGCATAGACTACAAAAGGGGGGAATATTCAAATATATATAGAAGATTTGCTTTGGGATAGACAACATGCTGTCTTTTTATGAATCTTTGTTTATGTAACTTTCACACCAATTTTGAAAGGAGAGATTCTTAGGCATGTTTTACAGAAGTAGGTGGGACTCCAGAGGTATTGCAGAGTGTCACAGACAACAACCAGAGGGACAGGGAATCCAGCTCAGAGCTTCTTGACTTGTTACTTGCTGTCTGTCAGCTGAACAAGGTGTCTGCCCTTACATCATAAGCTATCAGAGATTGGGCCACTGGGAGATATCTTAGAACTGCAAAAAATACACAGAAAATAAGTATCATATTTCTTCCTCTTTCAGCCTCTTGTAGAAAAGGGTTCTTTTGGTTTCTATCTTTTTGAAAATAGAAAACTAAAATGTACTTTCATTTGAGCAGTTCGAAAGAGAAAACTATAATAGGAAGCTATAGTGGAGACGTAGGAATTTGGTTTGAAACATTATATTTACTTAGACTACTGTTTAGCAAAAAAGTAGATTATTATTTACTTATTGATTAATTGGTTGTAATACTGGAGGTTGAACTCAGAACTTTCACACACTACCTCTGAGTTACCTTCCCAGTCCTGACCCAGCCTAATCTTGAATTTGGGGCAATCCTCCTGCTTCAGCCTCTTGAGTGTTGAGATTACAAGTGTGTGCTACCATGCCTAGCAGGACTGTTTATTCAAGGAGACTAACCTCTTCCACTCATAACGTTAACAACTGATATTAATATCGCTCTAGGGCTTTCCAATGATCTCAACCTCTCCAGCTCCTGGTTGAGTCTGGAGGGCTGTCAGTTCCCCATTTTGAGAAGAAGAAAAGGAAACTGAAAAGATTGCAGAGGTGGAGTTCCAGCCCTGGGAAGGATGACTCTGCAGCTTCATGGCCCTCTGGGATCTCTGCTACGAGTCCAGATAGTCACAGTGGCATGTGCTTACCAAATATCTGATGAAAACAGTAGAGAGATGAGGCAAGATTTCCTGGGACCAGGTCCTGTCATTAGATCTGACTCAGTTATTCCCACATCTGCATCTTCATGTTAGGTGAGTAGTTCTGACTCCAGGAGCAAAGGGGAGAACATCTTGTCCTCTTGCCAGAACATGGAATGGTATTGGCGTCACTATGAAAAGGGAAATGAGTTCTCTCACTAGGTTTGAGGAACAAGCCTGCCAGACTACCAAGAATTATTGAACTCTACTCATGATCAGTGTCCTGACTCACTGTTGTCATCCTGGCCAGGATGATGAAGCAGACTTCTACTGAGTGGTGTGGAATGTCTAAAGCCTTTGAAAACTTTGAATAGGATTTTCTTGTTTTGTTTTGATCTAAGGGTAGCATGTAAGGACAAACACACATACACACAGTTCCTACTCCCCCCACTCCCCTTACATCCACAAATACATACATACATACATACATACATACATACATACATACATACATACATACAGAGACCAGTGTGCAGATATCTGGGAGAAGACTGTCTATAGAGGTAGGAGCTCATCTAGTGAAAATAAGAACAAATGATCTATGTTCTGTCATTCTTTCTTTATCCAGAATCAAGGTCAGCAAAGACTATAAGATGTTGAAAATGCCAGATGGAGCTACTCTCATTTATTTATTTATTTATTTATTTATTTATTATATTTACTTACTTATTTTTGCATATGTGGGGTCATGCACGCCATGGTGTGCCTGTAGAGGTCAGAGGACAAAATGGGGAAATGATTTATCTCCTGGGGATTGTACTTAGGTCTTCAGGCTTGGAAGCAAGAGCCCTTACTTTCTTAATAATCTCATCAGCCCTAACATCTCAGTTTAAATGGATGGGAAAAACAGAAGCTGTTTTTATTCTGAGTAACTTTAATCTGGGACTAATGGAAGATAACAGTCATGCAAAATAATGGGTACGAGCCTGCTTCCAATAGACACATGTCACTCATACCCCTATCCACTGTCTTTCTCCTGTATCATCTATCAAAGGGACCCTTGGTCATGATTTTCCACCCATTTCATCATGTCTGGGCAACAGAATTGCTCGACTCTTTAAAGGAATTGCTCCTTATGATTGATACTGAGCATCTCCTTCTGACATTTCTTCTGTTCCCTCTTCATTCTTTACTATTCCTAGTCAGGAAGTTCATGTAACTGAGAGTGGATTGGTTCCAATATGAAAATGCCTGTGTTCCTGGCCACATAAGAGACAAAAAACATTGTTAAAGAATGAAGGAAGAAAGGAACAAAGGAAAGGGGGAAAGATCCAAGATGTTACAGGTTATTGCAAACCTGTGATGTTAAATCTGAAATGGCAAAAGAAAGTGGAATTATTGTTTATACTAACATTGTGATGCAGTATGCTGGCCACAGATCAGGTGATGACTGACAATGTCATTTCAACAGCAGCTATTGGATATGGGACCTATAAGGACAGACCCATTTAGTATTAGATGTTCCTTGGTAGTACCCTAAACCTACCATGCCAAGAAAGGCAATCTATTAAGTTGGACTTAGGTTTGGAGTGAAAATTTAAGACAAAGAGAAATCAATGTGCATACAATTGTAGAGTACATGGGCAGATGGCTTATGGGTGTGTTTCCCCATTTCCAGAAAATGGATAATGGAACATCAGCTGATATTACAAAGGGATGATGAAGGGAACTACTCATTTTACAGTGACTTATGTACAAAATAAAGCCATTCTTGTAATGTACAAGATGGATACATCTAAATGCACAGTTACCCCTCTAGAATCCTTTGTGAAGCCTGTGGTGTGGGAGAGTGCTAGTCCAGGAATCAGGATGTTTAATTCAACATCTGGATTCTTCCTTAACTACATATGTATTATGAAATGACTTGAATTTTCTAACTTTGTTTGTTCTGCAAAATGGGGCTTGAGGAGACCTTAACAGTACCCACTCCCAGTCCATTCCAAAGCTTGTCCAACAGCTGTTAAAATCGCTGGCAAATGGCTCAAGTTGCCTTTTTCCAGGAAGAAAAGCCTTTGGGTGGCTTCACATCCTCCCCATTTCCTTCATAGCTCAAAACTAATGAGTAGCTGACAAGAATAAAAGGGAGTAATGATGCTTATCATACAGAGTTTTGGGGAGGGGTAAAGTAAAATAAGATACATGGGGCTAATGAAAACCTTGAAATTAAAAAACAAAGCAGAAACCTGGAGCTGTAGCTCTGTTAGCAGCATGCTTGACAAAAGTGCACAAAAATCTGGGTTTGAAAAACCTGGCTTTGTTCTTCAATCTTTACATCTGCATTAAAAACAAACCAATAAATGAACAAACAAATGTAAAAAAATCCAGGAATGATGGTGTAGTAACCAGCCTTAGGAATTCAAGTTTAGCCTGGGATACATAGAGTTTGTCTTAATTCCAGCTTTTAAAAAATATAATACCCTTCTAAACAATAACAAAGCACACACACAAACTTGAGAAAGGGAGGGACTTTTAAAAAAGGAACTAAACATTCTAGGCACTTGTGAACCTTTACGGTTATAGGCATGATGTCAAAAGGAGAAGTCATTACTTTTTGCACTTTCTAGCAGAATCCTGGCAGGATGGTTGACACATAGCATTCAAAATGCTCATGGCTTCATAAGCAGAACAAATTTCTAAATCATCTCAAGGAATGCTGACTCATGATGGTGCCCATAGCGTGTGAGAGGAGAGGATGGTGTTCTCCATGCCTGGCTGTCCTCTGCAGCAACTTCCTGGAGAATTACCAATATTCATACTTCTACAACTAACTAAAATGAGTGACAGGGTCATTGAAACTCTGAACCTATTCAAAGCTGACTTAAGAGTAACTCTCTAAAGAAATGATACAGGCAATAATTAAAACTTGTTGGATGTCAACTGTATACTGCTAACACCACACATGCTTATTGTATCTGTTCATCCCTCACCATCACATATTTCCACATAAGACCAGAGGCTCTATAATTAAAAAAAATTCTAGAAGTCGCTCTGCTGATGAGTTGTTACACTGTGTCTGATCATCCACTGTGTACTATTGTCACAAAACTTGCTGAGCTGCACAAGGACAGGCAAAAAGACAGTTGTGCCTACAATTTTATCTGCAAGTGTGTGTAATTTTTCCCACATACAACCCTTTTTTTTTCAAATTTTAGAAGCACTCTTATTTATATATCAGTACCACCATTCCCTTGCCCTCCCATCCTCCCATGCTCCCCACCAACATCCTAATCCACCCCCACCCACTCCCCAGAGATAGTGAGGCCAGCCATGGGGGTGCCGTCCAAGTCCATCACATCATTTGGGGAGGACCCAGGCCCTCCTTCCCATATCTGGCCTACAATAGTACCTCTCCATAGGGAATGGGCTCCCAAAGTCCATTTGTGCTCTAGGGATAAACACTGACTCCACTGTTAGAGGTCACATAGACTGCCCTGAACTCCTAACTGGCACCCACATTCCAAGGGCTTGGTTCAGTCCAATGCTGGTTCCCCAGCTTTACCACTGGAGTCTCAGACTAGGTCAGGTCAACTGTTTCTGTGGGTTTCTCCAGCACAGTCTTGGCTCCTTTGCTCATTCCTCCTCCCTTTCCACAACTGGATTCCAGGAGTATGGCTCAGTGTTTAGCTGTGGGTGCCTTTGTTTGCTTCCATCAGCTACTGGATGAAGCCTCTAGGAATGGCAACCAAGGTAGTCATCAATCTCACACATACAACTTCTTGTGCTTTTCTTTCTCCCTTCTTCCTCTTCAAGTATGTTTTCCCTCTCTTTTGTTTGAATGCAGAATGAGGTTGCCAATACTCACAAAACAGACATTGAAGGGCAGGTCTTTAGGCTGTGTGAAGACTTTCCATATATGAACTTTGATAGTGAGTGGCATGTTACTGTAGGGAACTCAGATGTTTCTGACTCTGTTTATTATACCTATCACTATGGTAGGTGGTTTATTGGTTTTATGCTTATTTTTTACTGATATTTTCACATTCAGTGTTCACCACAGCCCTGTGAAGTGGTAATTAATTGCCTCACTATGTATATGAGAATCTTTGGGGGAAGACAGATTAAGACATTTGGTCAATGTCTTATAGGATGGCAGGTCCAGGGGTTTTATTTTTAATGTATTCAACTGTAAAGCCTATGCTACTTTTACTATATATTATTGTACATTGCCTATTATCTGAATTGAGTTCTGCTTTTTCTTTCAGTGCATGAGACAATTTCTTACCGTGTTTGGTTCAGGCTCTCCTCCTGGCTCAAATGATCCTCTCTGGTAGCTGGATACCAGAAGAACTCCTGGTATCCAGATCTATTGTTATCTCTCAGGGATCCTCATTTCCATGACAACATATTGTTACGGTCTAGAGGTATCAAAAAGAGGAAGGAAAACTATGCCTCAGAAGATGCTATGATGAAATGTCAAAGTAGGAGACTGTGTAGGTGTGCTTGCTTGTGTTCTAAAGAGAAAGGTCGATGCTTCAGTGTCATAATTCAAATGTTGAGAAAAAACATTTACAAAAAGTGTGTAAAGACAGATTTGGAAAATCTAGTGTCTGTCAAACACAAGGAATCAGCATTAGAACCAGGTCAATGTTAGAACCAGAATTTGGAAAGCTAAAGGTAGGTGTTGTTAATAAGTTTTTATGATATGCTCCTGGCATAGTTTCTCTTTCCAATGAATGCTTCCCCAGTTTGGTTGTTATCCAAGGAACGTTGGTGTTTTTCTCCCTCAGCCACACAGTGTCTGCTGATATGAATTTTCTCTGAAAACACAGTTCAGAAACACCAATGGATGACTCACTAATGTTCTCCCTGGAATCACATTTACTTGTATTTTTAAGACCTTCTCAAAATTGAAGGCACTGACAATGGCCATTTTTTTTTTTTTGCACATGGTGTGATCTCTCCCTGCCCTTGAAAATCTTTTAAATTTATTCATCTGTTTTAGGACTGGTAAAATTATTTGGGGGCTAAGAAACAAAATGTGAGACTAACATGGGAGCAGATAGATGCCCAGTGTTGAGGTAACAAGCAAATCCACATTGTAGACAGTTAGAGATCAATGCAGCCCTTACTGGGGACGCGCCACTCTCCTCAAGAACAGTGTGTTCAGCTTAGCCTTGTAACATATCACCAAATGATGTGATTTTGAAGCAACATACCCCTAAAGTTTGACTGTAAGTTCTAAAATATAAAAATGTAACTTCTTTTCTGGATAAGGGAAGACATAAAGCAAGGAAGTCACGGCTAACACTGAGAACCCTCGACTTTCCAAATAGGATTAGACTGAGGAGCTTTAGGAAGACATCATTGGCTTAGACTGTTTCTCGGAATGAGACTAACAGTTTTGAGATTCCTCGTGTAGTCCATCCCTGTAAGAAGCAGTAGAGAATGCCTACCTTAGTAGATGAGGATTGGGTGGCTTTCTCAAAGTCTCAGACCAGCTGAGCAAGCCCTTAGAACACAATACTCTGGTCTCGCTAATTTAGAAGACAAGAAAACACATTAAGGGAGAGAAGTTGAATGAAACATTTAAATTTATTTCATCATCAACCTTTGCTACTGAATAGACTTCTCGAGACTTATCGGGTCTGCTGGTCATGCACAAGATATTTTAATAGTTAAGAAGTTTATCAATGCCTCATTGTGAAAAAAAGACCTAAACCCCTAAGACAAAGAGAAATGTGTCTGATTATGAATTTAAAGTTCATAGATGAGATGCTGAATCCATAACAGGTTATAGGTTAACAATTCCTACAGATGTCCTGACATACAGGCATAATTTTGAGCACAGTGAAAGTATGTTGCTAAACATATTTTGTTATAATTGTTTGAGATTTTCATTTAATAGCCTAGAAAAGTTAAACCTCTCAGGATTCAGTAAGTTTTTTTTAAATAGTCTGAAGAACAGAACTTTCTTTGCTATGGATTTAAAACCATGTAATAAATGTCAATGAGTTACTCAGTGTGTGTAATATTGTCTGATACTGACAGTTTTATATTAACTTTGGAAAGAACATCATTTTTTCATAAAAATGTGATTTCAGTCTGACTTATGACCTAGGATCATTTTAGGGCTAGTTTTAGAAGTTAGATGCATATATAATGTCTTTGTGGTATGCCTTTGGGGGAACTTGGAATGCCCCATGACTAAAACAGTCTCCACCCTCAGAAATGATGTCTGCAATTCTTATTCCCTGTTGAAACACACATTTTTTTGTATTAGAGAGAAAAGTTCTATTTTTAAATTAAATTTTATTTTTTAACCATTTAAAAGCTATGTATATTATAAAAGACACCATGGAGAATAGAAATTGTGGGTCTTAGGCAGGTGCTAGAGGAAGAGCATGGGACCACAGTGTGCAGGAATCCACTTTAGACCTTCCCACCAATGCTCTACTTGAACAGTCCCCAAGTAACATTTGTGATGGAATATAGGAGTCTCAACTCTTTTTGAAGTGTACCCAACCACACACTGGAGTCAATGAAAGAAACAGGATGCTTAAATAACAGAGATCTGTCTTCACAGAGAGACAGAAAATTAACATGTAACTGAAACAAATCATCCTGAGAGTATGCAACCTTACACATATAACTGTTGCCGTTTGATGTCTTTATTCACCGCTGTCATTGCTATATCCATCAAAGCCTATGATTCATGGTCAGGTAGGAAGCAGGGGTGGTTTATGCATCCTCCTTCGTATACTAATTACAGCCTGTTCACAGCTAATACCACTGCGATCAATAGCTGAGAGAAAAAGGAATGAGTTTGGGAAAGATGAAGTCCAAGTAGGAGCTCCATGGTGACCAAAACCTTAGAGGGGACACAGCTATTTCACAGGTACTGGACGGGCCTGTCTTCCAGATTCAAGACTCAATATTTATGTTTGTTTTTCTGATATTTGCAACATAAACATAAATACTGAACATTTTTTCAATCACTCTGAGATTGGTAAACTGGTAAGCTGAGGCAAGCATGTCTTCTCCCTCTGCATTCTTCCCTCAGGCTTTTAGAGTTTTGTATCACAATGATATTATGACTATTTTTGCTTTTGCCACAAGGAAAGCATAATTTTCATAAGTTTCAGGGTAAACTAATATTTATACACTAGGAATACAAACTTTGTTTAAAGTAATAGTGATATCCACATTAATGGATATTTAACAAATATTAACTCAGTGGATTACTGAAAAATGCCAGGTAATGATAGGATGTCCTCTAAGAACATGAAGAACAAAACCATGTTATTATTATATTCTAGGAAAATATATGTCTTTCTTTTATGCCTTTGTATTTTGGGAAACTAATATTGTGTGATTAAATCACCAAAACTTCAAAAATACAGTTTTGTCACTTTCCATACATGATTCCTTTTTGATATTATATAATTTTGGTCAACTGACAATATAAAATGTTTGCGCATCTATATATAGCTTTTTAGGTCTCTAGGATCCAACCAGGATGGAATAGTACCAGTGCTAATGAGGGTGGTTTTTGGTTGATACCCAGGATAGTCCACTCTCTGCCACAGAGACCAGCTACTGCTCCTGACATGTGTTTTGTTGTTGTACAAGATCTCCATATGTTTAGTAAAAGGCTAGAATTCAAAACAGAGCCACAAGAGGCATTTTAGGTAAATCATCTTCTGCTATCTAATCTGGGAAAGGAAAATGTTACCATTTTATCTCTGTTCTTAGTGTGGTTTATAGATAAAACTAAGTTTAAGTGTGTCTGTGGTCTTGGCTGTGCTTGTCTTTTGTTGCATAAGTACCTATAAGTCATCTTTGAGTTGCTAGTCATTTGAGAGTCAAGTCCCACTCAGCATCACATTAGAGTTCAACCTCTGAAGTTATCTTCAAGTTTTAACTCATTTGTGCTTTGGTGATTATAGTGTTAGTCAAGGAAGAAAACAATTACAATTGGGTAGTTGCACTAAGGGTAGGTAATACTCATTAAAAGTTATGGGTCAGTGTGTACTGTGGTAGCTGGATGGTTCTTTTAAAAAAACTGGTAAGAAAATTTAACTCCTAAGGTTATCTGGTCCAACGTCACCTAAGTCAACAGAAATTTCTTTTATAGATATTTTCAAAATCATGAGGTCAGCATGAATTTTTTAATTCATAATTAATATAATTAATATATTAATATAATTAATATATATTATATATTTATATATTAATTATATAATAATAAAATATATAATTAATATATATATTCTTTGGAAATTTCACATCATGCTCCCCAATCCTGCTCATTTCCCAGTCCTTCCACATCTACCCTTCACCTTGTAGCCTCCTCCCAAAGAAGAGAAAAGACCCAACTTTACTCCTCTATCTTGCCTGCTTCTCTATCACATATTCATTTGTCAGTAGCCTTGGGAGCTACAGTGTGTCACACAGTATACCCTTTTTCTAAAACAGCTTTACTACAAATGTTCATTGCAATGAGTTGTTGGTATGGTTCCAATGAGTTGGTGGTCTGGTTCTAGGCCTCTGATTTCTGCTACACCATCAATACTGGGTCCTCATCTGGACTCCTCTCAGGCATCCTGCTGTTGCTCAGAGTCATGGAGGTCCTGTGGCTAGGATTCCACAGGACCAGTCTGCTTACTCACTCCAGAAGCTCACAGATGGGGGTGATATTGGGGTGGGCCAACTCTAAAGTCTGGATGTGGGCCTGGGTGGTAGCTGAGTTGGTCAGCCCAGGCCTCCTTTGGGAACTCCACCTCAGGTGAGGGGTAGAGCCAGCTCTTTTGGGCCTATGCTTTGGGGTGAGCTCTTCAGCTCCTAGGCTACCAGGCCAGAGAGGGACAGGACCAGCTCTTCCAAGGCCAGCAAGGGGTAGGCCCATCTCAGCATGGCCCTCAGTTGGACTTCAACATGGCTTTAGGTGGCAATCCATACCACTGGCATCCAAAAGGCCTTTGGTGGTGACAAGGGCCAGGGACATCAACAAAGACCCTGACTGTGGTAGAGCCAGTGACCAAGAAATGGCCCCCAGCTGCAGCTCAGGCCTGAACATCACCATGGTCTCAGGTGGCAGCTCAGACCATACATCTCTCCATGGACTTTAGTGGTAACATGGGCCACAGACATCAATACAGACCCTGGCTTCAGTAGGTCCACAGACCCAGATATGGCCCTCAGCGTCAGCATAGGCTCGGACATCACCTGGCCTCAGGTGGCAGTGCAGGCTACTCACATCAGCTTGTTCCTTGTTGCTGTCACATCCCAGCAACAAGGAACCTCTCTCCATAGCTCATGAATGGCTCTGCTTCTCTTTCCCATTTCCCCATATCTGCTCATCGTAGTGACTCCCAGATGAAACCAGCATGGATTCTTTTATTTGTGAATACTGTAAAAATTACTAACACTCATTACTAAAACCACTAATACATAGTTTAAAAAGATTTATTTTATTTTTAATTATGAGTATGTGTGTGTCTGGTTGCATATACTTGTTAGTACAGTACCCAGGGCGATAGATCTCTTGGAGCTAGAGGGTCAGGTGCTTGTGACTTACCTGACATAGGTGCTGGGAACTGACCTTGAGACCTCTGAATCAGCAGTGCATGTGCTTAACCATGGACCTGGCGGTGTCCAAGCTGCAATATACAAATTACTAACACATTTACAAGTCTGTCTTAATACCTGTTAGCTCAACATGTAAAGCTGAAATCAGAATACTTTAAGGATAAAGGACTTTTGTTTTTGGCTTTGTGCTTAAGCTGAACGAACAGCTGTTCTTCTAAATTTGGTAGTTTAGAGTAGAATAGGATAGACTAGACTTTTTCCCATAAGAAGCTTCTATTAGATCAATTCAAAGGGGCTTTACTGTCTAAGGCATTGTACTTTATTTTCAACATTCTATTCTGCCTTTCTTGTGTCCTAAAACCCTACACAAACAACTTTTGTTGAAAGATATTTTACCAAAATGTTAAGATAAAGCTCAAAGGACTGTCTCCTTTCTTCTCTCTTCTTCCCCACTCTTGGTGGCTTCTTGTAGCTAAGGAGAAACCTGTAGAGTGTTGGCAATTACCTTCCAGCAAACAAGGCCTTATTATTGCTCTCCTTGAGATATATGCAGGGAAAACTCATTGAAGAAAGGGGGCTTAAAGGGAGATTTCTCAAATCCTTGGGAAATTCCACTTGTGGTCAAGGAGTTCATCCCCGTGACTCCTGGGGTATGACAGCAAATGATATTTCACACGAGTTAGAACTGATTCATTCCTTAGGAATCTGCAACTGGAGTGGAGCCTTTGGAAGAAAGCTAACCATCAATGGGTCCTGGGCTAGAGAACTCAGGAGGGAACTTTTTTCTTCCGGATATTTAAGTTTATTATTTATTTAGTTATTGCAGCACTAGGCATAGAACCTAAGGCCTCAGATGTGCTATGCAAGTACTCTCTGGCTAAACTAAACCCCCTGCTCTTGGAAGATACTTTTATGCACTTGTGTGAGACCCTTGGGAATGAACTCAGACACTGTTACACAGAAGCTGCTGTCCAGAAGGCAGGAAGAGACATTGGAAATCACTTATGAAATAGCACATTGGGTTGGAGCAGAGGCTCTTAAATTCTGTCTCAGGACATTGAGCATGGGTGTCTGTTAAAGTCTTTCTAGAAGGGTTGATTCTAGAAGGCCTTTGACCAGTAACAGATTGGAGGAGCCGAATCCAGTGACAGATCTGTGTCTCATGAACCTGTTAGTTGCTTCTGACTGACTCCGTAGCCAGAGTTGTTCCAGGTTTGAAGGATGGTTTGTAGACCTTACCCTACATGAGCCAGATGGAGAGCAGTGCTGAGAAGAGCATGTGTCCTAGACACATTTAAAGAATCAGTCATTGAGAGAGAGATGGGAAGGGGTGGCCTCAGGAAGAGTGCCAATTTTCTTTCAAAATTGCTGTGTAGATTTGCATTCTCTCCAGTTCCTGGTACTAAGTGCTCTCCTTAGCAGATGGCAAGTCTAGTGTGCCTGACACATTGAAAGGGTGCAACAAGGAAGGCAGGGCAAAGGAGGACTCTGCAGTGGTCACAAAAGGCTATATGGAGAAGGAAGTCTGACCGGACAAAGAACACAAACTGTTCTAAAGACCATGGCAATAATTAGACTAAAGGCTGAAACTGGGAGAAGACAAATTGGGTCTGAAGTTCAGGAAGAGTGGTAGATAGGAGGGTGGCTGAAGATGGAGTCTGGATCAGTTAGTCTTGAGAATGCAGGGAAACAATAGCATGGTGAGGCTATGAAAATGAAGACCCCACAAATACGAAGACATTAAGAAAAATGACTGATAATCACAGAAATTGAAAAATTATAAGGTAGAAATATTGAAGAATAGCAAATACTGGTGAGAGTAGGAATAGAATAAGTCAAAGACCAAAGTAAACAATGCTATTCCAGTATTGCATTATGTGAAATAAATATACAGTTCTGGAAAGAATAAATCAGAATATTTCTCTGGGTGGTGAAGCTTGCATTTTTTGTTATTTCCTTGATGTCTTATACTGGAAATGCTTCATGTTTTAATTAGAAATTCAAGGTTAGGCAGGCAAAGGGCAAGAAAGAAAAGGAAAAAGGAGGGGGGAGTGGAGGGGTCATAGATGATAGCATTGGGATAATGACAGAAAATCAGGCAGTTCTAGGGGCTGGAGCTAGGGAGGAGGTCAGCTGCACTCCCCCTGCCTGACCACTGGTTTGGCCACTACATTGACAAGAACAAGATGTGTGGGGTTCGAGAGATGGCTCAACAATTAAGAGCTCATACTGTTTTTGCAGAGGGCCTGAGTTCAGATCCCAGAGCCCATGTTGGACAGCTTACAATTGCCTATAACTAGCTCCAGA